AAATTATAATAATTATAACGTGATTGCTGTAGTAGACCGACACAGCCGCAACCGCATTAACTATATATGCGCTGTTGTATACATAAACGTTTCCAACTAAACAAACATTTGATCCGACGGAGGTTTTTCACTAGAGATTCGTTGGGCAAATATAATATATATATGCGCGTTATGTTTGCGTTGACTTTGTGAAGTCAGCCAGCATACACAGTACACTCACGGGTAAGTATAGGTATATGGGTTTCCGGAAAGAGGTCATTCGATTTGATCAGAATCGCTTTTACTCGACCAAATTGAAAGGCGCAGCGTTCCGAGAGCAAAACGCTATTTGTTCAGCTGTCTTTTGGCTCCACTGCACAAAAGGTCGTTCTCCGATGTTGTGTCCGGCAAATGTCTTCACACGTGCTTTTAGCCATCATCATCACAGCCAATCGCTGCCGACACTCTTTGTTAGATTATACTACTGACTATTTGATAAGTAACAGCTACATACTATTGGTAACGGCCCAGTATAGACATTGCACTTGGATAAAGGCCAACAACCGACGGCGATAATTCCTAGGCCGACATTTTTACACAATGAGCATGACCTATATTTTAGAAAATCGTTTGGTTATCAGTATATAACCATAAATTAATAATAATCATTTTTAAAAATAATAATCTTTTTTTTTTTTTTGTAATCTCATGTATAAAAAATGTTTTATGTATGCGACGTTTGTGTTGTCGGCGCAAAATGTGTATAAATCTATAACGCGTCCAAAAGCTAATAAAAAATTTAAAAAAAACACTATCGCTTCGTGTTTTGATGAAGACGGCTCGATGATTCATAAAAAACGAATCACACACGCGCATACAAAAAACCTAAAGCATAAAAGTACCTTGAAATATTTTTTTTTTTCAAAAACAACACCTTTTGTTTGTTGCTTATTGTTGTACTTAAACGAATACATTTCACTGTAAAATAAAACGTACCAAAATACATTTAACTCTTATGTAGGTTGGCGTTAACTTTACTCGCATTGATTGTAACATTAACGCGAGCTGAAAGCACGTTAAATATGTGAGTTTGATTAAAAATGTAGTTATTAATCTCGGTCAAGTAAGAGTCAATACAATTTCATCAGCAACGAGGAATCGAATTAAATGATAATTAACAATAGCAATGAGTTAATGCATATTAATATATGCGTGTAAACGTGGTATACATACTGATATTTAATCTCTACTTACCTACCTACAGCGTTTACATGCAGTGGTTAATTTACATTAGCTCAACGAGTATTAATATTTGGGTTTAGGTTCTCCTTTTAATCCTATAGTAAAAGTTAATTAATTTGAGGAATCGAATGAAGTATGTTAACTAAAACGAATTGAACTAATGCTATAAACTGTAAACATACATAGTAGAAGGTTTCATATATGTAATTAAAACGTGTTCAGTGATTAGTAAAATCACCTCTAACAGCTATTGGTGTTGACCAATTTAACACTTGGTCACAAAATATAAAAATAATACTTTAGAAATAACCAAGTACATTTTTAATATTATATGTATTTACTATTCATTAGGATATCCGATATGATGGAAATTATAGCCCACCATAATTTATTAAAACATTAAAAGCCCATTTTATATGAAATTCCAGTCTGCATATTAGCAATTTAGTTCACTGATATAAAATTAAGAATATCATAATAGTAAAAAAAAATGTGTTTAATGAATAAATATTTCATTAAATATTTTTCTTAAAAATGACCTCTTTGGACTAATTTTTATATCAAATATCTTTAATTTGAACTAAAATAAGATCATAGCACAAATAAATAAAAAATAAGCTAACAAAAAATGTTTTTAAAAAATGGAAATATTTACTTTATATTACAAGAAATCAATCGCTTAAATTGATCGCTCTGTATACAAATAATACTTATTCTAACAAACATTCGTGATAAGAGTTGAGGGGTTAGGCTAAGGTATGACTTAAATAAATAGGAATTTACCGTGTTTGCTCCGCACTGGGAGCAGCTATGTAATTATTATACAAAAAGTTACTTAAAGGCATTTCCTATTTAGTGATTTAATCGTGATTGAAAAATTAAGACTGGATAAACAGTTAATTTAATTATGGATTGTTGATAAATCATTCTTGTTCAAACAAATTAATGAATAATGGAATACTAGTAAGTTTATTGTTCATGAATTTATATTTAAATAAAAATGTACCTATTGGAAAAAATGCCCAACATAATTAATAAATCAAATTGGTTTTTAATAATGATTTTTTATAAGTGTTTACCTGTGTTTAGAACGTTCAGAATATTGTGACGGTAGTTTTAATGTTTTTTTTAAGTATACGAAAAAGTGAACGTTTTGTTTTGTACAATTTTAGACTATTAAAAAACTGCAAGTGCTACATGAAATCAAATTCCGTTATACGCACCCCTAATAAACCAGTATAATTAATTTACCGTACATTCTTTTTTAATTTTCACAAAAAAACTAAATGTTGCTGTTCTTTTGATTTTATAATTACACACTGATGGAATTAAGTAAGCCGTCAGTCAAGAAGAACATTAAATATTGCAAACATGCTGGTAAATTCACCATCCTACCTAGTTATGTTTATTCCTCCCGAATGTTGGCAACTGTTGTTTTTTAACAATCGGGTAGACCGTTTATTATACAATAACGATGTTATTACAATTGTTACAATTTAATATAATTAAATAGTAGTATAATTAATTACAAACAACACACACATTATTATGTACAGTGCTGTAATTTTAACACACTGGGCCACATTTATTTAATACATTAAACGCTAGCCTACGACCCCTCAACAAGAATGGTCTCTAGTGGAAACAATTTCCGCACTGTCCTATCTGTCCTGCGTGTGTTGCCATAATGTCATATAATAATAATATTAACATCGTTATGACTCAATTCGATCAACGAACATAATAATATTGTATTATTACAACGGCTTAAAAGGATTAACACAACAACAACATGTTTCTCAACGGCAATCAAACAATATTAGTACTCAGTCGATTAAAAATATAATTACAACGTTTTTATTGAAATTAAATATAGATATATATATATTTATATATATATATATATATATTATAGTGGTTTATAATTATTATAATTGAAGTTCAAAGGGAAGAAAGGGAAAGATATTTGACAAAAAAAAAAGAGGAGAACATAGTAAAGCGTTTGATTTACAAATACAGACGGCGAGTACACGAATTACATGTTATATTTACAAAAAAAAAAAATCTACACGGAAAATGTTAACAATTCGTACACATCTTATATAGTAATAAATTATGACTAGTTTCAATTCCGTGTTACTTTAAAATAATTAATACAATATACTTATATATTTATGTATATATAATTTTATTATACACGATGTCGGTAGTTTTTTAAAATGTTATATTTACACGTTCTCAAGTCGTAGACTGTACTTTATAAAAACGTCTAAAACTCTAAAAATATTATTTTATACAACGAGTTATAAACTATTTAACATAATATACGTTTAAAGTTCTTTTATTATTATACGTACAATTTTTGTATTTTTTTTTTTTGTATACACAACCGCGACGTTTGTATATTATAGACAAATAATCCGAGATCACGTGTATGTATATATATGCAACGCACTATCGTTAAGTGTTTTTTTCTTTAAAAATTCAAAATCCGATAATTAAACTATATGATAATAATAAAAAAGCTTCCATCGAAATTTCGTTATCATATTACAATAATTGTGTACACAAAAAAAACTAAACCTAAATTTAAAAAAAAAAACACACACACATAAATACAATATACTTAATATTTAAAAAAAACCATAATTCGTTAGTTCTGGGTATGTATATTTTCGACGTGGTAGATATTAACATTTTTATCAATTGTATAAAAAAAATTGGTTATGTGGGACGAGCCAGAATGAACGTTGCCTTTTTTCCTTAAAATGTTGAACATGTTATATTACATATTTTTTTCTGGCCCGGTCTAATTGTGGCAATGAAACACCGCGGCTTTAGGTCTTTAATAATAGTATCGATATCTCCTAATTCAATAATATTATTTATAATATAGGTGAAGTATAATTTACTTCTAGAGATCTTTAATTCGTTTGCCTATATTATGTGCAATCAAATGTTATTACTCTACCATTGATTATTTTGTTTTTATATTACACTTATCTGTACGTTTTAAAGACGGAGACTACACCTGATATACTTTGAAAAATATAATTAAAACAAGTGTCCTAAACGACAAGAATTATTATTAACATTTAACGACTTAACACGATTTTGTATATGACTTTTTTTGCGTAAAAATAACTATTCAGAATTACATGATATAATATAGAATAATTAATTGTTAAAAATAATAACAATAAATTACCAACTTGTACAATAGTATATTATGTTATATGTTATTATAATACCGTCGGGTTTCGTTTTGGGGCATACAGGTATTTATAAAAACGATATATTTATAACATATAAATATTATAATTAATATTTGTCTTATCTTATAGGAATTCCTATAAATTAAGTACTACACGCGTAGTAGGTCGGTAACTTCAAAATAATTTATACACGTTTGCATGTCTGCACTAGTTATAAATAATAATAATAATAATAATAATAATAATGATATTATCACACCTTCGAAGCGTTGTACCGTATACTATAAACTATTTATACTTATTATTACTATGTACTCTACATACGTACGAACAATAACGTTAATTTATATTTATAATAATATATTAATTATATAATATCTATGTACGATAATAATGTATTATGTACTGGTAACGCGCGCATAATAACAAAATAATTATTATAATCGTTACCGTAAACAATATAACACAATAATAATAATAATGATAGTTTTGTTTAATACTAATAATAATGCGATGATGCCCGTATAAATTGTTGTTTTTTTTTTTTAAATATGTATATATATATATATATATATATATTTTTTTTTTGTTTGAACGAGTCGTTGTAGATAGGAAATAAAAACAATGATAACAACATAATAGTCTGTTTAACGGGCGCACAAAAACGATGGAAGTTACCGGGCCGGGCTTAAGCTCCGGCCGCAGCTGGTGGTCGTCGTAGCCGGTGTCAGGCGTTCAAGTTCTTGGTGAGCAACAGGTTGTTGTGAGGGCCGGAGAAGTGCCGGACCAGCTGTTGGAGCGTGTCGAAAGTCATCTCGCAGAAACAACAGTTGAACGCCCCGGCCGATTCTTGGTCCGCCGACCCTGTGGTGCCCGGCGATATCACGTTCCTGTGGACCGAGCACAGGTGCTTGAGCAGGTGCGCCTTCTGCTTGAACATGGCCACGCACAGCCGGCACGCGAAAGGCTTCTCGCCCGTGTGCACCCTCAGGTGGGTCTTAAGATTCCAGCTCATGCCGAACTGCTTGCCGCAATAAGTGCACTTGTACTCGCGACCGGCGCCCACCACGACACCGCCGGCCGGCTTCTCGTCCAGATCCGAACCGGCCGCGTTCTGTTGTTGTTCCAAAGTCTCGGACTTGACGTCTGAAAAATCAAAAACAAACGACCGCGCACGGTTCCGATGAGTATTTGCAGTTGTCTATAATATTTTTGAACACCCAATGTACAAAGGGCAACTTTACAATCGTCCAAATTGTCACTACTCAAAACGGCACGAGTCTCCCACAAGTTACCCGCACCCGTAACGTTTCTGTCACTATTCCTAACGCAGGACTTCCAACGGCAAAAGTGAAAAATCGAACGGAATTTGATACAAAACATACACCCTGTACCATTTAATGCCCCCTTTTTTACCCGTAAGCCTGATAATCACCATCTCCTGATGAAATAGTGGTAACTCCGAAATTTAGTGTTACTTTGTTTGTTATAAGTGACATATACTAGATACTGGATGGATTTAACCGGTTTTACTCGGGATAAATATTATTAGAGTATGTTTTACTTTAAAAATATGTAAAAAGTAAATAAATCATTAAAAATAAATACTTCCAATATGATATAAATATCGTTTAAAATAGAAGCAGCATATTTTGCTTAATTAATACTTAAAATAAGTATTTTCGGCCAGCAATTAATTATATTATTAGTCTCAATAGAGTAGTACGTGTTTTCATTAATTCTTCATTTTAGCATTTGGCTTAAGACACTCAACCATTCAAGGCTAAACTATTGATGTGAAATTTGTCAAAATCGTTCCAGTACTTAGGGCGATTATTTAGGTCATTTTTGTTAATCACGAACAACATTACCGAGATGATATGTGTCATGTAATATGATTGCATACTCATTGCGCCGTATCGGATCACGATATTAGATGACACCTGTCCGGTGTGATCTAATGAAATTTTGGCAGATGAAATTTTGGATTAAAATTTTTAAAAAAATGTGTGATCAATAAGCGAAGTGCGAATACAGGACAAAGCGTGCGACTAAATATACACGACCATTTTCGTTACTACAACTGCAATAACTTTAGTTATCTCCCTTCGTTAAGTGACTATTTTAATAGCTGACTTAGCTGTCGTTAAGTGCACATAAGATGTGCATAGTGTTTTTTGGCCAACTCACCTACACTCGATGGTGGCCAGGGCGATCCGTTTTCGGCGAACCTGTACGAGGACGACTGCGACGGCGGTGGCGGTGCGGTGGCTGACGGTGGCACGCCGGCCGGTTGGCACGATGGCGGCCTCGGGGTGCGCGGAGGACTGTCGTCGCCCGGTGGCGGTGGAGGCGGTGGTGGCGGGATGGGCAACGACGGCCTGTACACGCCCGCCCCGTCCTGAGATCTTGACCGGCCCATGAACACGGGATTCCTGAGAGCCGGCGGGGTGTCCCGGCCGTCGTCGATGGCCGGAGCCGGCCCGAACGGGTGGTGAACGAATGAGCTCAACGACTGCGTGATCTTCTGGTGCCGGAACGCCATTTCGTGGAAGTACATGGGCACGAACGGTGGGTTTTGGGCGGGCGCATTCTGGAAGCCCGGCTGTTTCTTACGCTTCCTCGGGGTCACCTGCATAGAGAAAACCCGCTAGGTTAGCTTTATTCCGGGAAAACGGAAACGAAATCGTTTATTTTCTCACGTTGCAAAACCAACGTAACTATTGTACTTACCACGTAGTTGGCTGGGTTGAGCCGGGCGTCTTTGCTATCCGAATCGTTGGTCTCCTCGGCTTCGGGGTCTAGGTTGGGCTCGGCAGAGTCCATGTAGGGTAAGTTCACCTCGCAGCTGTACTGGAGCTGGGAGCTCCGGAACTCTGTTTCCACCCAGTGAGGCTCCCGTTTTGGAAACGTTTGGAAACCGTCGTAGCCGACGTCACCACGGTCGTGCGGGTAATCGTCGAACGGCGAACTACTCCTCCGTCTCAGTTTTCGGTGGCCGTCGTCGAACTGCAAATTCCATAAAAGCCATCCATCGTTATTATATTTATCATATTACTATTACACACAGACTGGGCTAACCAGCTAACCTATAATCGACCATTATACGGATTAGGGTAATAGACTTGGGTTAATATGGGGCTTAACGACCGGTCGAATTGTCCAAGTCCGATGTGATCTGTTTTGAGCTACTAACGATAACCGTATTCCCGGCGATTATGGAAACATTATTATATGTTGTTCAAAGTAGGGATTCAAAAATTAGCGTTGCTCCGATCGTGGAAATACAAATTTGGAGTTTTAATCCCTCAAAGGGAACGCTTAATTTTTATTAAATCGAACGTGCTGTTGTCCCTTTTGTTCGGTTTATAACCAGTACAATTCGAGCAACATAACAATATTTTATATTTTTATCCACGGTATAACCTGCCAGATTCCAATGTACAATACATAATATTATACAATATGGTAGAATTAAACGAAGCTCGCGAGTACAGTATTAATTGTATTTATCTTGTACATAACGAGTTGGCGAAGTAATATTTTTTTTTTTTTTTTGTACCGTGTGTGTAATACTCTGATGATGATTACTTTCATTTTCGAAATATTAAGTGTCTGCCGAGCGCTTTCAGTGTAAAAGTAGAACGCGCGCTCGTTTCACGACAACCGGACGCTCTAACGTTTGTGCACACACTTATACGTCGTTAACGATATAGATATTATAGTATTGCAAAAAACATGTGTGTGTGTGTATGTGTGTGTGGACGTCTAAGCGTGGAAATAGCAACAAACGATCGCCCGACAAAAACGCACATAGAACGTGTAAGACGTGTAAAATGCGAGCCCCCCTCCCCTCTCCTCTGAAAACCAAGAAAAATGACCTTTAACAGAACACTTTTAATAAATATTACCTTGACCGTTCAAAGCGCTGTTTAAAGCTCGTTAAGGATGTCGATTTACAACGGTACGTCATGTTTGTGTGTATACACATGTCAGTCATTGGAGACTGCTGTCGCTAAGGTTAGGTTAGATGAAGTTGTAATAACATGTGTAGTATATGTATATCATACACGGTAAACAGCGTTGATTATATTCGGAAAGTGTATATGTAGGTTCCGACAAAACTCGTTTAATATCCATTATAATAATTATAGAAATGTTCAATGCAAAAAAAGTCATATAAAAATAAGCGGTTTGAGTTGATTAATTATTACAGTTTTAATCGATTCTATTTTTGTTTTTTATTACGGATTAAATCGTCTCTTAAAACAAGTAATTATCACACTGCATTATGACATGTTTTTTTTATATATAATGATCTGAATAAGGATTGGGCGACAGTATTGATTGAAACATATTTGACCGTGTCTGAAGTACATGGAAAAAATGTACTAAAAAATACTGCCAATCCGTGTGCCATGTAATATGTATAATTGCAAAGAGGTATACGATGTCGTCGATTGAAAAACCAGTTCTTGTATATATTAAGCCTTTAAGACTTGTACTTATTTCACAAAGAGGGGAGCCTTTAAATTTCAAATAAAGAGTATATAAAAACATAATAAATAATTACATTTTCTGTTCTATTGCTAATATTCATTTTGTTCATTATGGTTAATACAAAATTTCTTTGAACAAATTTTTATAGTAGTGTGTATTATAATTTTTATCTTGTGCATTAGATCAACGTTTACTTAAAAAAAACAACGAAAGCCTTAAAAAGTGAAGTAAAGTAAAGCGCTATTAGAGAATATAAATAACAGCAAAAATATAAATACAAAAGGCATAATATAGCTGGCACAAGGGTTCTAAGGATAGCTGGAGATACAATTTAATATATGATTAAATGAAAATAATATCACGCATATGGTAAGATGTCAACTAATTAGTATGTATGTAGACGTTTCTGCTGTCCACTGGTACGCGAGACAAGTCACTCCCTCTACCTTAATTATTAAATTATTTTTCTTAATATTGTTCCCTCAACTCTAGGGTGTTGTCCGACATTGACTCTGATGGGTGATCAGACTCGAAAATAACGATAGCTACCGCCTATGAGCCGTAAACAGTATTATTATTGTCGTTGCTGGGCATATCATACATACACTCACTAAGAATATTATGTAAAACGAATGACGTCGGTGGAATAACATATAAAAACCTGTATGACGTGTGCCACATGATCGTTTGGGCTAGGTCAGTAATAATAATATTATTGTTTTAGGTCAAGTGAAAATATTAAGACAAAAAGCCCATTTTCTTAAACCCATTAATTTTTATTATTTACGGTTCGGTCGTGTTGGCAATACAGATTATATTGTGTTCAACATGTCCTAGAACGAATGTTGCAACGTCGATAGAGTTCAGCGAATAAAAAGTCAATAAATTTAATTTTCGTAAAACGGTAAGTACAAACATATACTACATAATATGCAGTGGATAGGTGAAATACGATACGTTGTACAAAAATGATATGAAGTTTATAATTGGAAGTAACCGTGAACATAACAAATGGTAGTTTTTCGGCTTTCTCTTTTGCATGCGGTAAATTGTATTTGATTTGCTCGTGTTCGCCCAGTACCCAATACGATTGCAATGTGGTACTCACCTTAGATACTCGCCAATTTGATTGTATGACAGCAGGGTCTTCGGTTTTGGCGTCGATGGACAGGTTGACGGGCACCGACGACCTTCTCCGCCGTTTTTTCGGGTGCACCTGGTCAAACCGGGACGTGGGCGACAGGTTCTCGGGGTCAGTCTGGATAGACAAGTCCGAAGATGTGGCCGAGGGCGGTGGCCCGGATGACGGGAGGGGTGGTGACGTTGAAGATTCGTACATGGCCCGCTGCCAAGTGTCCGACCGGATCTCCAACAGATTCAACAGGCTGACTACCTCGGCGAATTCGGTTTCCTGCACGCCGAAACAAATAATGGGTATAGTGAATATAGTTTGGGGGGAAAGGCGAATATTATATGGTCACGGGTATAAATATATGTATTTACAACACCCTGGATCGGCAAAGTCATAAATGAAGGGTCCGGTGCAAGAACCGGCCGTCTCCATATTTTTAAAATTGTTCAGGACGGCCAAAAGGAAATCCATTGTTTCATTTACCACTATTGGCGGGGGGGGGGGGGTGAGGGGGGAATACATTTTGTAATAGCTTTGTAGCTAATAGTCCGATTTCACTGTTGGATGCATGAAAATGTAAATAATTCTTCCACGGACATTTTTGATAAAAAGCGGAGATGCCGGTTCTTGCACGGACCCTTTTGGATTTGTATTTTATTATTATTATTATTATTGTTGTGGTATTACTCACCAGCACGCTGGCCTGGCCGGTGTATATGAAATCCAGAACGGTCTTCATGTGCACGTCCTTGATTTCGGGAAACTGGAGCACCAGGTTGTGGTACATGCAGATGTTGTCCTCCTTGAGAAGCCTCCGGACGAGAGGACTGACCGAGGCCAACACCAACGAGTGCGCCCTGATGGACACCCCCGGTCGCACATGAGTTCCATGTCGGAGTGTTCGTCGCCGGCCTGTTGGATTTCGGCCATCAGGTACACATGGTGGTTGCCGTAGTGTAGCGTCAACGGGGCGCCGTTGCCGCATTCTGAATCCGTATCATACATTATTCGGGTTAGTCTGTGGAGAAAAACCGTAATGAGTCAATTTGATATTTTACAAAGTCGGGTTGAGTTAATTAGCAATGTGCACATTGGCGTAATGAGACGCTTAACCTATCAGCTGTATTTATAAGTCGCCGACGACTTCAGGTATTTATTTATTTGCCAGTGTTATAAGTGTTTTTCTGTATTATAATCAGAGGTGAGCACGTGATACACGGATACTTGTGTCAATAACAATTGATACTCGATCAAACTCGATTCATACTTGGGGGTTTTGGAATCCATTCTAACTCCTGAGTATATGACCCCGAGTAATGTAAATCCCCGATTTATATTTGACAGTTCGCTCGGTGTAAATTATTTGAATTCATTATTTTTTACACTTTGAAGTTTCGTCAAACGGTCGGCTCGATTAAGTAAAAATAAACCGTAGAATCGACAAAACAAATGTATTCATTGTTCTAGAACAATGACGGCGATTGCACGCGTGGCAGTGGGCATGTATATACATACACACTAATAATATTATTATTTTGTGAATGCGATAACAAGAAAAAACGCCTGCCCACTCTGCCTGTGTTCTTAAGCGGGACTACAGAGCTGTACGTTATTTAGGCTAGGAGTCTCATACCCATATATAAATCGGTTGGGTTCTCCACGGTAACGCGGCTGTTGTTAGCGAAATAATCGCAGTACGCCTATAGCCGACACACGATAGTAATATAATATTATTATTACTGTTGTGTCTGAAAACGGTCTGGAGGTGACGAGGGGGCGGCGGCCTAAACGAGCTGGGCCCGTTAGTGACCGAAAATTGAGAAAAAAAAATGATGCAATAACATTATCATCAAACAAATCCGTCGTGTGGGCGTTGGCAAGCGAAAGTCTAATCTCGTAGGCCCCGTGCAGCGTTTTGCCACCAAAAAAAAAAACAATCATTGGAAAAGTTTTTTGGCCGACACGACATAGCAAAACTCGTTGTGAAGAGCAAAGCCCTGCCCGAGTTCTTGGGGCTGCGAAAAGTGTCACTCAATAATATTATATATTACACGGCGATCCCTCCCTCCCCTCGACACTTTGTCACGCGCCCGCCCCTACGGATGACGTCGACGAGCACTCCTGTTTGTTTGACACTGCCGGAATGGAATAAGTAAAAAAAAAAAAAAAAAAAATGAAAACTGAAACTCTCGAAGTTCGGCGAGACGTGCTTAATGATTATATTTTCTCTCCAAAGGTACGCCGAAAAAACGCATTACCTACCCTTCCTTTCTCCTTTCGGTTTGTCGGATGAAAAAAAAACCCTACTGACTGTTTTGGCACCGTCGACAAAGAACGAAAAAACGATAATACAATAAAAAATGTTATCTTCTTTTTATCTATTTAAGGCGTCTAAAGTCGTCGGCACTAAACCTCGAGGGTGGCCAGCAAAACGGACGCGGCCGCACGATTAGAATGGCTATTAAACCTCTCTTATTTATTTATTTATTTTTTTTTGTATCAGTCTGTAACATTAAGATTATGATATTATGGCGGTTGTTTTTTTAAATTATTTTTCTCAAAAGACACAAACACCACGATTACGCAATTGCATACTGAACGGCGAATGGCTGCCGGACACGTGTAGGTAAACATATAATAATTGTACACACAACGCAGGACCCCTCGAGCGCAATGTGGTTGCGAAAACTTATCCGAATCGCGACGGCATAATAATATTATAACACGTCACAATAATCGAAAACAGAGGGGCCAAAACGGGGCACAACATATATCCTTTGGTCTTCCCCGCGTGGACGATTTAACCACCGGCCAAACTAAACGGCTGTTTTCACTGTACATAAATCACACACATTTTATTACCCAAAATGTGATTTACATTCTGTATCCAATTAACAACAGTAAGCAAATATGCTATAAATTATAATTTAATACCGTGGAAGCCACCCATTGATGATACTTCCTGTTTGAAAAGTTATTTTGGCCCATATCCACTATATCCCAGGTATCCGATCACAATGAAATAAAAATCAAAGAGTACATATGTTGGAAACATGCAAATATAAATATAAATAAATAATAATTGCTGTTATTATTTATTTTAACGATATTTTTAGAAAAATTAGGATATAAAATAGATAATGCTAGTAACAATATCAACCATACCAGCTGTTCTAATAATTAAAAATTTGGTCAATATCAAAATTAACCGGTTAATGTTACAACTGGATACGATTGAATATAGACTTTCAAGTCGAATATTTATCGGGTTTGAGTAAAATGTAAATACATGTAAAAATCCAACGTTTAGATATTAGGATAAGAATACGTAAGCATAGACCTCAACCTACATAATCTACCGATTTAGAACATAACATTGGACTATATTATAGTAGTCACGTGAGCCGGTTATAACATTCTCAATTTTTACATGATTCAACCAGTATTAAACTATTTTGGATTAAGATAATAAACGGAAGATAATTCTACGAGTAATGTAGTTATTTTTACTTTTAACTCTGCAAATAAAACATAATTTTGATTTTATTTAAAATATACTTCATAAAATATAATATACAATAAATATAAGATATTTTTTTATGTTAAATATAACAAGTAGATTAAATAATTTCAATATCTACGTATGTATTATCTACGAATAGTTTTAAACCCTTTTTTATAAATTAAAAAAATATAATATTCAAAAGATGACCAATTAAAACATTTATCAGCATACAAAAAAAAAATAGCTATGTTCAACGAACAACGTATAGTTCATGATAGTACAGGTGACAATTATTTCAAAATCGCCGTTTTGACCATTGATCATATTCGCGATTTTTGATTGACATGTTGAAAAATTTAAAGAGCGCATTATGCCATTTTGGTTCTCGCCGCTTCGAATCCCTCGTCCTTACTACGAGCACCCTCCCCTCCCAGACATTTCTTGCACAGTTCATACTTTATGATTTCTAGATTTGGCGCCAGGTAAAAACATGTACTGCACGCGTGCCGTATGTACTTATATTATTTTTGCTTGCGGTTTGGATTTAAGAGATTATTGTAGAAATGTCGCGTGCGCACGATCTCAACGGCAGACCACGTTTAGGAAATCGAGATAAACAAACATAACATTAGCAATAATAATAATAAGTAGTAACGAAAAACGTAACCAGGTCATATACACACACAGAGCACTATTGCTCCGTTTTTGGCTCGAGTTACGTAAATGTCTTATTAATTTCGACATGGCGTCCTTTCCTCCTGCCCTGTCGGCAATCCTATCCTATATCTCATCGTGACTCTCTATATATACATATATAATATACAACAACCATATTGCAACCTTGAAGGACCGCCGACGTTTGACGGACGACTGGCGGCGGCGGGCAAAGGACGAGGACGCTCGCGTAGAGGGGAAAGCGAAACGAAACAATATATTATATATATATAGTATAAGACGTTATACTTGGAGTAAAAAAAAAAAAAAGTGAAAATTTAGACTATTATACCTAACCGACGGTGTTGTCTGCGTTTCGACGGCGGCGGCGGCGGCGTCCAGAGGGCAGAGACAATGGGGGCGATGATGATAATAATAATAATATGTACAAGATAATATATTGTAGTACTATATCGTTACGACCGTGTGATAATAGTTACATATATGCGATCGATGCGTGCATATTATTATTATTATTATATATTGTGACCCGAGCAGTGGAGAAATAGCACAGCGAGGAGAAGAAGGGGAAGAAATGACATACTAGCGCCGTTTGTGAGTACCGTCGTATGCGGCCGCCACGCGGGATGGTAACACAATAATGACTGGTGTGTTTATATAGGTAAAGGTAAATGATAATGGTATGAAGAAAGAAGAAAGGTTGAAAGGCGACCGGGTCTCCCCTCGGGCCGTCGTAACGCAATTATGTAATGCATACGACCGTCGCATCCCGTTCCATGAACTTTCACATTGCTCGTGTTATATTATATTACATACACCGTGAGCGCATTAACCACATTTGGAAAATATTCCAAAATAACGCCGTTATCATTAGATAACGCTCAGAGTAGTGCTAACTGAGAGTTTAAATTAAACTTTTGTTATCATAAATGACCAACTAAATTTTTAATCATTGATCAATCAATTTATTAAAATAAATCCATAATCAAGTGTTATTGAAAGTGATAAGATGTTGGCAAAAATCTTAACCCGAATTAACCCATCTGATTATTTTCGTTTAAGCCCCAAAAAATGTTTTGTTATAAATCCAAAAATATGGGTTAATTAAGTAAATGCGTACCCAAAAAAAAAAACATAACCAGGCATACTTTGTCAACTATAAATTTAATGCGTTTCTAGGATATCTTTTATGTTTCTTTTGTCGAAACTAAATCAATGGTTATTAAAAATGTAATTAAGTTTATTAAAATATTTATGATTTAGTATTTAATTATTAGTTCAATTGATTGAAATTCTTAAACATTTTTAATTTACTCGTAACTTATAATTCTCTAGTTCGAATTCGATTTTTAGTTAATTGAAAATTTGTCTGAATTTAGGATCACTCCGTTTATCCATACTTAAGTATATTGTAATTAATAGTCCGTAGCAGTACGCCAACTTCCAGGCAGTTTAAAACGCAAACTGTCCGTATAAACGGTAAGTAAGTAAAACGCCTTTGTAGAGATCACATCCGCCTGATGACGTCTTAAATTACTATCGGACTTCCGCAGTCCAATAATAATTAATAATGTAGTGTTCTCCAAGTAGTCGAGATAAACGCTAGCAATCTATAACATGCATACATTAAGTAGGTAGGTTTTGATCGTGTTAACTTTATATTACTCATATTATAAGCACGGGTAAATGAGTACAATATAATAATATATATTAGCTCTAAGGTAACGTCGTCGAATTTAATATGCTTCGATATTGTAATATAGTAGTCACAGCTGTCCTTGTGTAAACATAGGTAAACACAGACGTCATTCCGGTTGACAGTCAACATTTTTTATTCA